ATTTGGAGAAGGCGTTCAACCGTGTTCCCCGGGGTGTCCTTTGGGGGGGTTCCCCGGGAGTACGGGGTCCGGGGTCATCTGCTGAGGGCCGTCCAGTTCCTATGTCTCTCAGCTGGCCTTTGAACGCCTTGGGGTCTCTGCTTAGACTGCTGCCCCCGCGACCCGGCAACGGATGAAGCAGGAAAAAATGGATGGATGGAGGGATTTTCTACTGTTTTTCCCTAATTGAGAAAAGTCAAAGTAATATAGTTCAGTACTATATTATAGTTAGGAGTGAAGAGTCCAAAACTTTCTCTTCACCATGGAGATTTTAATGTTTACTCCTGGAGGTAAACTGATCACAGGCGTTTGTCTGTTTATCTGTGAGCAACACAGGCTCCTCACATTAGTTAAGGGATGATTTAGATGAGAAGTGTTGTGTGAAATGGCCCACTGAACGACTGATTCACTAATGGAAGTGATCGGAATCATCAGATCACCTCCATCTCACTTTTTGTGTGCATATTAGCAGCTCAACCAGGACACATGACTGCAGCCAAAGCCATCTTAAGCCCTTCCCGCCCCTGATAAAAGTGCTTTATCCAATCAATGAAATACTACAATTCTTGGACATTCATGTTGTCAAAATAATTTGCTTTACAAATATTCTATATATTCAAAGTATGTATTATTTTTATCAGAATTATTATTTATTTACGTATATTCATTTATTTACGAATCTGCTGTTAGCGAGTGAACACACAGTGAAATCCCTTGAAGGCGTTGTGATTTTGGGTTAAGAATATTATCGTCAAGTCCTGCAAGACATGGTTTCCTTTTGACTGCTTTTCCACTGATATACAGCCAAATGTTCTTTCATTATTTCATCATCTTAATTTGTCCCCTAATCTGTGATGTATAGTGGAATCATCAGTGTCGCACAAGCATTTTGGCTCGAATGAAAAAGGTATTCTCTACGAGCAATGTCTTGCAAGTCTTTCTAGTGACGACGTTTACGATGTTGTATTAAGGAGCAGGCGTAAATCAATAAGGCGGGTTTGAATATAAGTGCATGGACTGATTTATTTTGTATGACTGATGATTGTTTGAGATCAATATTTAAATAAAAGAATATGTCTTTTTCAAGTACTGTGCTACTCTAGGTTGTCAATCAATCAACGTGTATTTCAAAACCTGCAAAAAACACAAAACAACAAAGAAAACCATTTAGACAAAGCTTGTTTATAATTTAAAATGCAGTGGTCAAAAGCACCATAAACTCTTGCTATACCATTCTGTTGTGTTCAGTGAAAACCACACTCTGTAGAATGTTATCTCCTGCTCCAAACATCGGCCTGAAGCTGCTCCGCTTCCCCGTGCTACGCCCCTGATCTCCGGGCCAGATACCGCGCTGATAGGCCCAGATCTTAACAGTAATTACATCATGTTTCACTTCATAATCCCCCAGGAAAATAATTGGAAAGCGCTCTGGATATGTGCATCAGTCACCCGAGTAACAAACCGCATTTCTGACAACCCCGCCACCGCACCACTCAAAACGGCAATTAGTGGGACGCTAATAACAGCAACCCTATTACTTTACGGAGAAAAAAGTCAAAGAACATGGGCGGTAAATAGTGACAGGCTGTAATTTAGCTCATATTGTTGTTTCCACGCTTCAGACTTGATATTGCTGCATGGGAAAATTAAACGTCTCTTAGATTTTTGCCAATACTTTTCGAGATAGATGCTGAGGCTTTCACTCAGAAAGGAGGGACACTGGCGCGTTAGCAAAACTGTGGGGGTGATATTACTGTAGCTAATACAAGCAGAAAGTGATCATTTGTTTATGACGTGTTAACCGTTTTGGGATCATTTTTTGTAAAAAATACATACATTTTTGATAAAATTGTCTGACATTAAACCGGTCTGTGGCCTTAAAAGGTTGGAGATTGACGCTTTAAGTGATTCAAAAACATAGACCTTTGGTCAGACCGATCAGCATTCATATTTCCCACAATGAAAATACTACTAGACGGATCCTGTATAAATGAATCGATATAGGCGGATCTATTGAGGTATTCAGATTGCTCTAGGAGCTTTCAAACAGTGTGTTTTATCCTCACTGCAGAACTGAAGGCCGATTGCCCAGTTCACTTCCAGTTGGACCACTTTAAAGCACCGCAACTCCTCCAGGGATTCTGCCGCAGAGGAGTTTAGAATTACAGTCTGCGGTGGAGTCCTCTGCCTCGTAATAGTCTGGCTGTATTTAGTTTAATTTTCCCAAAACCGGTTTGTATACACATGTATCCAGCAAACACATATTTCACAGGTCTATAAAAGTGTTTGCCGTGATTTTTCAGTCTCGCTTTTCCCAAAACGCAGTACTCGTAATTTGTAGGACACAATATTTAGATTAATTTAGACTCTTGAGAGTTAAGCTTGTTTCGCTGGCCGCTTCACGGACCACAGCAGGTGTAACACATGCATTTTTGATTCTACTCTCAAGCCACAGCCAACGCTACCAGTGGCTTGGGGCATCCGAGTGTCATAGTATCGGCGTACAAAGATTCCCTCTGGTAAAATATGAGTGTCACACATAGTTTACCTACATCCTTTCACACGGCCATCACACGAAACAAGCCAACTATTCTCTAAGTGGACTGTCTTTTTCACAAACCACCCAAGACACTCACCAGTTAGATTTAAAACCCTGGGATGATGCTTTCGATACCCAAGCCAGTAATTGCAACTTTCCTCCGTAGTTCCCTCCTTGCGGTACAAGCTTGTGGTATGCATTATTGGGTTCAGACACACGGATCTACCTTTCTTCACCACTGTAGACTTTCCTGGCCGAGAACCTAGAGGCTGGCATCTCCTGAATGAGCAGGCTCTTCTTCCTCCGGCGTCTCCTGTTCGTGTCTGAGCGCCTCCTTTCCAAGAATGTTGGATCGTTTTCCCAGGATTCATTAAGCAGTTTAGTCTATGTGTTTTATGATTCTAGAATCCTTCTGTGGATCTTGTTTGATGCATTGAGGTTGGGCACATTTCAAACAGCAGCCAGGACTTCTCTATCCATTCAGAGGAGAAATTGTTCATCATCAACAGAACAATTTGATCGTGGACAAGTGTCCTCCTTTTGATGACAAGTTCATCCATTAGGATCACTTTAGGCCACAGTTGTATTGTAGACACAAATCTCATGTTTTGTTTGTGTGTTAGCGGCTCCATCAGGACACATGGCTGCAGCCAAAGCCATCTTGAGCCCATAATAAAAGTGCTTTATCCAATCAGCAAAATGTTTCAATTCTTGGACATTCATGTGGAGGATTGTGTGGAAAGACTGACTGAATATATAGATTATTTTTTCCAAGATTTGTATTAACTGTATCAGAAAGGTGTGTCAAATGTACATGACATAACTATCGTTTGATTTTACTTTACTCTTACAATTGTTAAATATACATACACATAAGTAACACTAAAAATACAAAACTAAGGTGACAAACCATATACTTATTTGATTATTATTTCCAGTGTTGAAACCAAAAGTGTACAGCGTCACAGTGAGAGTGATGTACTGGCCAGGAGCAGACGCCGCCGTAAACCGTGAGGTCTTTTGGGGCGATCCATCACTTCTCTGCTCCTCTGGGCCCAGCTCTCTAGAGGATCAACGCACATGTGGCAATTTGGGAAAGTAGCGTTTTGGGATGTCTCACAACCGGAGAAAGGGGTCGAGAGAAGGGGAGCTGAGAAAAATGCTAAGGTTGGCCAAACTACAAGTGTACATGAAGACAATATGCAAAATAATTCAACACATTTCTTTAAAAAATACCACAAATTGTTTATATCTTGATCCATGTTAATATCAATAATTTTCAGTACAAACCTTTCCACCAGGCTTTCCCTAACAAAACGCTCTTTGCTGAATCTGTGAGATGTGGAGATATCTTCTGCCTTTTAAATAAATAAATAGGCTTCTGCTATTCAAATTACTGTAGAACATTTGACTTGCTGATTTTTCATGGCACAATTTTCCTTATTTCATTATTTCAAGTTACACAACAGTAATTGCCAATGTATAGTGCTCACGATGATGCTAAAGAGCTAGAATTAAGCAAGGCCTTTTCTTTTACGTAAGGCTGGAACGAAGGAGTGGGAGAGAGGTAAGTGGCCACACACTGACGAGACTCAAATGTCACAGCCTTTTACACTGCTGCTTCTGAAGAGTCCTGAAATTTGCAGAGCCAAGAATAGTCCCATTACCGAGCAGAGAAAGTTCAAAGATGGATGAAAATCTAACCAGAGCCAGTACAGATAATGATATGTATTACAACACTAAATGTTCAATATTCGGGGGTGGTATATCTGCACAGTGAAGTATGATGTTTTTTTTTTGCCAACATGTTTCCCAGAGCTTGTTAAATTAAGAAGTATGTATTGTTTAACATATACAGTAGGTAATAAATGCAAAGCTTTAATCTTTAGATTTAGTAAATATCAATCTGTCGGGAAAAACTATGGGAAAGAAAACAGCAATGCTGTAATGAAGCACGGACTGTATGTGTTTAGATGGACAATGCAAACCTGCTAGCTCAGCTAACTCAATGAAGCCCAATAGGGAAGCGCTCATGGACAAATGTTTGCTCCATCTTGCACTGGCAACTTAGCAACCCCCTTAGCAACATATCAGCCCCTTTTGCGGCATGAACCTAAGCCTGTTTGAACAAATCCCCCTATGAGGAAATTGGCTCCAGTTAGCTTATGTTCAAATGAGCATCTTCCGCATTCGACAAACATCATGAGTCAGTACTTGGTCAGTCTCTTCCTAATATACAAATATTATGCTAAACTTCTGAGAACTTTTGTTTGAGCATTTCAAGCACCAGTATAAAGCTACAGTATAGCTATATGTTCACAGTTGGTGGGATTAAGGTTACTTTTTTTAACTATTTTAAACATTGTTAGTTTTTAAATATCAAAATTTCATGATTAAAGAAAGGAAATGTGACTGCTCTTACCAAGATGGTGGAGACGACAAGAGAGCGGTTGGCCAGAGAGTCTGACACATTGGTGCCCTTCCCTTTCTGGTTTTCAGTCATGTTGAGTCCACTGGAGGGGTCCCATGTGCCGATCTGAAACATGGAAAGATAACATCAGTATGATTAAATAAAACCACATTCAAAGTCACATGTGTTCAGTCAATTTAGTTCACAAACTTCTCCTGCAGGCGCCCAGAGTCAGGAATAAACATGGAGAATGAGCAGGTTAGATATATGCGGAAACAGACAATTTATGTCTGAAACAGTCTTGAAAATGTGAGCTCTCTTCTTTTACAGATGAATATATTGTTATGTGTTCTCTTTGAGCCGCCTTGTATAGATCATTAGTTCACATTCAACGGCTCCATTTCAATATTCTGGGTGTTCACCGATATAAAAGGATTATTAAGAGACGTTTTCGACACATCTCAGAAAATCAACTGTAGATCAATTATCAATCTAAAGTTAAGCATAAATACAAAGTTGAGATATTGAAAAAGTTTTGTTTCTTAAAATTTTCGCAGTTTTAATCAATTTAAATGGGCTTATAATCATTTCAATATAACATGAGTTGTGTCGTGTCAGTGTTGTCTCAGTGTTGAACGTTCTTCTTAATTCTCCAATACCTGACCTCTCATCAGGCAAAAACGTTAACTATAGCCGGAACTGCTTGTATGGCAGGTTGTGAAAGATGCCTTGGAACTTCATATTTTTATGATCCTCAGGAAAAAGGTCTAAAATAAAAACCTGCATGTCTCCCTCTATCTGCTTGCTCTCTATAAAGTTATTTATAATCATACAAGTGCAGTCTTCCTAACCAGGCCCAGAGGAGCGGCTGACAGCTGGGTGAACTTTGTCGCTGTCAAAGGCCCATTTTACCCACAATCCCACGGGGCGCGCCGTTACCGACAGACAAGACCTCTGACCACCGGAGAGGTGATTCCGAGGCGAGATCACATCTGCTTTAATCATTATTGAAGATGGTGATTATGAATAGTATGTGTAACAATGGCTGATCAACTTAAATAATCCCGAAACCATGAATAATTATGAACTATTACGATTTCATATTTAAAACTCAGCAAATATGTGTCTACTTTTATTAAAGGTTACATATGTCAACAAACGGCTTCAACAGAAGTTAACTGTATGTGGGAGTTAGCATGAAGCTAAATGACAGGCGTTGAAATTGAAATGGAAATGTCCGCAGAAATACAAGGTTAAGAGTTGTAGCAAAGTAAAACCTGCAAAGGCTTCAATTTGTATATTTGTCCCAAACTGACTTATAACAACTTTGTTTATTTTTTTTGTTGTGATAATTGTGTTTTATGTTTCATGTAGGCTCCAGCGTAGCCCAGGTCACTTCAGCCAAGCCTGCTACACATTTTGTTAAATAAACACTTTTACTTGAAAATTGCACCACAAAAGATGTTCGCTGAATCATGTGACATTAAAGTTTATATTTTTTTATCCAGGTATATGTTTTAAATAATAACATTATTTGCATGTCACATGGCTGGGTTCTGTTTTGTTAAATTAAAAGCAAAACGAGTTAACTGGAGTTGGCTGCTTAAGACATTGCAACCACCATTGTGGCGGAGCTACAAGCAGCAGAGGTTAACAGTTGCCTATAAAGACTCGATGAGGATGCTGCTGATGATCTCCAGACACAGTAGTGCGAGTAAAATGTTTGCTGAGTGCAGGGTCCGCTCCTTTCCTGCTTCCCTACGTCACTGCTACTATCCGTTTATGTGTAGGGTGGTGAGGGTACCTTATGCCACTGGAGTCACTGGCGTGCTTGTGTGACTTGCTGTAAATATGTGAATATGTGATTGCTATGTGTGTTTTTGGGCAAGGCAAGTTTATTTGTATAGCACAATTCATACACAAGGCAACTCAAAGTGCTGAACAAAATAAGAAAGCATTAAAATAATAAATAATCACAGTACATTAAAAAGGAAGATACAAATATATTGTTTAACACTATTCTTTTTAAAATGTTCTTTCGTTATTATTAGCTATGGATCCTGTGCTTGCATGTGAGTCCTTAATAAAGTCTAAATAAATAATGAATCATTGAAAACACAATATTCCTCAAATGTATTTTGCTCCACATTGGGGCGATGTGGAGATACTGTCTCACATCAGGAGCAGTTTGGACTTGCAGATAAGCCTTTTTGGCTGAGGCTGGAATGAGGAGGCTATGAAGAGTTTTCTGAGCTGCCTACAAACCGAGGCTCGGGTCAGATGGTGCGAACAGTGTGTTTGAGCTGATTATTTGCAGCAATTGGGGCTCCTGCTGATAATCCCATGAATCCTAAAGCGAGAAGACCCGCCAGAGACGAGCCGTGTGAATGAGATGCAAAATATAAAACACCAAAGGGATTCAGTGCAGAGAAAAACTTTCTGTTTCAATGTCCTTTTGTTCCTTTGGAAGCTCTCAGTTTTTGGTAGGGTTAATTTATTTAAAAATAAAAAGAATAATACACTTGTCATAGTATGTTAGTATTTGTAGCGTCACAAAAAAACGGGTCTTATCATCTGATCTTCCCTGGTTCAGTTATCGGACCGATGTCCTGTGAGGTGTAGCTGACCATGCCCCGCAATGATTAACATAACAAACATAGGCGAAACAGAAAGTCTGTTTTCAGAGGATTTTTTTTTTTTAAACCACACACGACTGTCAGAGATGCAACAAATATGCAAAATTAGATCCCATTATGGACGGAGACATTACAACAATCATCAACTTGCATAAATACAAACACTGAATCAAGGAGCATTAGAAATCAAGAAAGATGATCTCCTGTGTCTGTAAACACAAGAGCTTTGTCCGCTGCTGCTTCTGCTGCCTCTCAAACCACAAAGAGCCGGTAGGACCAGATGTAGCATTTAAAAACAGGCACGCTCTTGGAGACATGTCATCCCTACTCGGCGACGCCAGAAAAGCAAAGCTAAATTAATCTTGAATCAAAACTTCTTTAACATATGGTGCCGTTTGGGTTGCTGTGTTGGTTGCCGCAGGCAACGTCTTTGTGGTTTGCAGCTCCATCAAACAGCAGCGACAGAGGAGCCTCGGGCGTGCCTCTCTTTTCACAAAACAAAGAGCATGTCGGCTTTGAGTTTAGCTACAAGCGCTAAAGAGCAGCGCGACCAGCCGCAGAGGACCAGCTCGGATTATAAGGAAGACATTTTGAGGAGATGTGCTGTCATAAATGAAGATATTAGAAGTAACAGAAATCAGCATTTCACATCATCTTTAATGCTCTGATGAAAACAAGAAACATAATTAGCAACGCTGAGTGCATCTACTACAGTAATACTACGAGCTTGTCTTTGCTTCCTTTATTAGGAATTACTACGACCGCTTCTATTGGTTTTCCCAAGGGCAGCTGCGGCTAAAACAGCAGCTCACCACCTTTGTGTGTGGTGTGAATACATAGTGCATAGACATTGTGTTTTTGACTGTATGTTTTTCAACAGCACTTTATGAATAGAGAGTACTAAGTTCATAAAAATGCGTATTACTACTTACAAGTTGTATCATTGAGCTCATTGATTCAATTACAGTATGAATTCAGGCCGTAAAAAGTGCTGAGTAGAAACTTAGCGTGACGCTAGTTCTCCTCCAATTACAAAACGAGGAGCAGCGCTGTTACGAACAGGCCGCGTCCTCTCACGTCTACAGCGCAGGTAAACACAGAAGCATGGAGGCAGAAAGTGGCTTTACCTGCTTTACCACAGCAGACACAAAAACAGCCCAAACGACGCAACAGTGAGGAGGAGAAGAGGGGATTAAAGCAAAAAAATTATCAAAGAAGAAATCAAGCCCGGGTGAACATAGTTAGCTTACATCGTATCCTCTGGAAAGACCCGTGGGTGCGGGAGAGCCTTGGATCTGTACTCAGACTACATTTGGAAGCAAAACTAGCAGTAATCTTTCCGTTATATATTTTTTTAGCAGTGCGTTGCTTTTGTACAATTTCATCAGTGATCTTTGTATAGCTTACAAGAAGTTGCGCTAATGCTGATGTTTGCATATGTATCAGATAACAAATAAAACTAGATGGCGCCGTGGGAGGAGAGCGTAGGGGAAATGAAAAGCCTGTGAGCGAGTTGGGGGGCGGTTGAGGAAAGCCATCCATCCATCCATTTTCTTCCGCTTTATCCATTGCCAGGTCGTGGGGGCAGCAGTCTAAGCAGAGACGCCCAGACTTCCCTATCCACAGACACTTCCTCCAGCTCGTCCGGGGGGACCCCAAGGCGTTCCCAGGCCAGCTGGGAGACATAATCCCTCCCCTGCGCATCACTGTGCACGCTGCACCGATCCGCCTGTCAATATCACGCTCCATTCTTCCCTCACTCGTGAACAAGACCCCGAGATACTTGAACTCTTCCACTTGAGGAAGGACCTCTCCACCCACCTGTAGAGGGCAAGGCACCTTTTTCCGGTCGAGCACCATGGCCTCGGCCGCTTCACACTCGGCTGCAAACCGCCCCAGTGCATGCTGCAGGTCCTGGTTCATTGGAGCCAACAGGACAACATCGTCTGCAAACAGCAGAGATGAAATCCTGTGGTCTCCGAACCGGACCCCCTCCGACCCCTGGCTGCGCCTAGAAATTCTGTCCATAAACACAGTGAACAGAACCGGTGACAAAGGGCAGCCCTGTCGGAGGCCAACATTCACCGGGAATAGGTCTGACTTACTGCCGGCAATGCGAACACAGCTCTGGCTCCGGTCATACAGGGATCGGATGGCCCTCAGCAGAAGACCCCCGACTGGCACCGCCCCCGATCACCACGCGATGTTGCAGAGACGTGTCAGCTAAGACAGTCCCACAACATCCAGAGACTTTAGATAGTCAGGACGGATCTCATCCACACCCGGAGCCTTGCCACCATGGAGGCTACCAACCACCTTGGGACCTCAGCCAGGGCGATGGATGTATCCGCCCCAACATCCTCAGCCTCTGCCTCTGTAACGGACGACGTGACGGGGAGATTCAGGAGAACCTCGAAGTATTCCTTCCACCGCCCGACAATATCCCCAGTCGAGGTCAGCAGCTCTCCACCCGCACTCTAAATGGTGTTGGCAAAGAACTGCTTCCCCCTCCTGAGGCGCCGGATGGTTTGCCAGAATCTCTTCGAGGCCGACCGATAGTCATGCTCCATGGACTCTCCGAACTCCTCCCAGTCCCGGGTTTTTGCCTCTACAACAGCCCAGGCCGCGGCACGCTTGGCCTGCCGGTACTGGACAGCTGCCTCAGGAGTCCCCCGAACCATCATGGCTCGATAGGACTCCTTCTTCAGCCTGACAGCATCCCTTACTGCCGGTGTCCACCACCGGGTTCGGAGGTTGCCGCCGGGGACCAGCACCAGAGACCTTGCGACCAGAGCTATGAGCCGCCGCATCGGTGATTGAGGCAGAGAACAAGGTCCACTCGGACTCCATGTCCCCCTCCTCCGCCGGGACCTGGGAGAAGCTCTCCCGAAGGTGTGAGTTGAAAGTCCGTCTGACTCTCGGCGAGATGTTCCCAGCAGACCCTCACTATACGCTTGGGTCTGCCAGGTCTGACCAGCTTCTTCCCCTGCCAGCGGATCCAACTCACGACCAGGTGATGATCGGTTGACAGCTCCGCCCTTCTCTTTACCCGAGTGTCCAAGACACGCGGTCGAAAGGCCAGATGATACGACAACAAAGTCGATCATCGACCTCCGGCCTAGGGTGTCCTGGTGCCACGTGCACTGGTGGACACCCTTGTGCTCGAACATGGTGTTCGTGATGGACAAACTGTGACTGGCACAGAAGTCCAACAACTGAACACCGCTCGGGTTCAGATCAGGGGGGCCATTCTTCCCAATCACCCCTCTCCAAGTGTCACTGGCAATTCCCACATGGGCGTTGAAGTCCCCCAGTAGAATAACGGAGTCCCCGGGTGGTGCACCGTCCAGTACCCCTCCCAAGGACTCCAAGAAGGCCGGGTACTCTGCACTGCTGTTAGGCCCGTAGGCCGTCACAACAATGAGAGACTTGTCCCCCACCCGGAGGCGGAGGGACGCGACCCTCTCATTCACCGGGGAGAACTCGTGGCGGCTGAGATGGGGGGCAATGAGAATGGCCACCCCAGCTTGCCACCTCTCCCCGTGGGAAACACCAGAAAAGTGGAGCGTCCAACACCTCTCAAGGAGTTGGGTTCCAGAGCCAAGCTGTGTGTGGAGGTGAGGCCGACTATCTCTAGTCGGTATCGCTCAACCTCCCCCACGAGCTCGGGCTCCTTCCCCCCCAGTGAGGTGACGTTCCACGTCCCAAGAGCCAGATGTTGTGTGTGCGGACTGGGTCGCCAAGGTCTCCGCCTTCGACTACCGCCCAGCCCTCTTAGCACCGCGCCACCACGGACCCCTCTGCAGGTGGTGGGCCCACAGGAGGGACTGCCCACGTCGTCCCTTCGGGCTGAGCCCGGCCGGGCTCCCCGTAGGCTAAGGCCCGGCCACCAGGCGCTCGCTTGCGAGCCCCGACCCCAGGCCTGGCTCCAGGGTGGGGCCCCGGCTGCGCCATGCCGGGCGACGTCATGGTTTTCATTGTTGGCTTCGGACTGCGCTTCGTCTGACTCGTCACCTGAGACCTGTCTGCCATGGGAGACCCTACCAGGGGCATGAAGCCCAGGACAACATAGCTCCCAGGATCACCCGAGTACTCAAACTCCCCCACCACGTTAAGGTGGCAGTCCAGGGGGGAGCGGTTGAGGAAAGCGATGCAGTTATTTATTTTTCTTGGATTTGGAAGCATTTTTTTTTTAACCCTAGTTTTTTTAATTATAATAGGCCTTTACCAATGGGTTGAGATGCAGCTTGATGGTAAAAGAACCTAAAACCAAGATAAGATATGGCGATGCTCCAAACAGGTCGATTTCAGTTCCAAGCTTTCAAGCTGATCTACCAAATGGTTCAGGAAAGAAGGGTTAAGGTAAGGCTTACTTATTTGAATTAAAATATTTTATACGTGCTGGGACACAAGGAATACAAGGAACCTGTAGGGGTGGGTTTATAATTGTCATTTTTTAGTAAAGTTCAAACGTAGGCTTGAGCTGGGCATTTTCTAGTCCTATTCTAGTTTTTTAGTTTAGCCCCAAGTAGGCAAGTGGGTCTGGATGGGAGACCAGATATCCAACCACTTGCCTGCTTGCACATAATCATTTTTTTCGGAAAATATATTTGTCAAAACTTTTCATTCAAATACATTCAACACCTGGAGAATGTCAAAGTGTCATAATTGTATGTTGTGATGATTTCAAACACATAACCTGGACTTCAAGCACGTGTTCATTAGCCTCTTTTAAAGTCCCGGCACACTCTGCTCTGTCAGTATGCAGATCAGGTCAGTCTCCACCATCATATTTACATAATTTAAATGTGACATTTGGGCTGTCCCGCGGCCCACTGAACTACAGCATTTCCAGAGAGAGGCCTGATGTCTGGTCCATCACCTCTGTACATCCACTCGCAGAGCTCTATGGACCCACCTTCCCATGCCGGGTTAGAACTACCAACTGGAAATACATAACAGATAAGATAAGATAAGATGAGATATACTTTATTGATCTCACAGAGGAGAAATTTACCACACACCAAGACCCCCAAAAATATCTTACAATCAATTTAATTCATTCATTCATTCATTTTCAACCCCTTTATTAGTCAATTTCTGGGTCGGGGAGGTGGCACGGAGAGCTGCCACTCAATGCTCAAAGCACCAGTCCCTCGCTGATCCTCTGCGGGCGTTGAGTCCACAGGAAGATGGCTGCTCTGTCAGCGGTGACACAGCCTTGGTCTTTCATTGGGGGCTTCAGGCAACGTGGGGTTAAGTGTCTTGCCCATGGACACAGCGACAGTAGACATTTGTGGGAGCAGTTGGAATAGGTCCAATGGTGGGCTCGGACCTCCAGGCCTAAAGGCCAATGCTATACCAACTGAGTCATGTCGCCCCTACTATCAATGTCCTTCCTATTAAATCAATTATTGTATAGCACTAAATCACAACAGCAATTGTCTCTGAGAAGTTTTCAATTTTTCCAACAGCAAAGAGAATCAAAATGTACACAGGAAATTAACAAACAGGAGCCATTGGTCCATAAGTAGCAGGATGTCTGTCAATAAATGTCCTTAAATGTCCCAGGATGTGCTATCGTCAGACCCTCCTGCATCAGCAAGGAAAAACCCAGTGGGAAAAAGTGAGAAACCTCAGGGAGACTCACATTAAGAGAGGGATCCACTCAAACGGATGGCGTGAGTCCTGGATCTATAGTTCATTCAAGGAATAACAGTAATACACTGTTTTAGATCATTGAAATGCATATTTTTTGTTACATGAAGTACTAATAAATGTTGAATAGTGCTTTTACAGATTACGGCTTTATTTCACAGCAACATCATATGTGTTCTGATTATGTTGCAACGCGTCAGTGAAGCAATCTGACAGAACAACTTTGACATGAACAACATCCTGTTCCTGCTTCCCACAGCCGTCCTGTGCAGAGTCGTTATAATGACTGACTTGTAGTTGCAGTCTATGTCGGAAGAGTAGAGCGGCTCTCTACATCGACATAATATAGCCAGCCCCGGGGGTGAAATGTGTCACAGAGTCCTCGGCTAAAACGCCTACAGCCAAACCATGTCACGCAAGATTTTGACACGAATCCAAGGTTTGTGGAGTTCCGTGGTAAGAAGTGGTCAGGGATGTTCTGCGATTTGACACAGCTTTGAAGCTACATGTGCTTCCGTTCTATATCGTGTATAGTAGGAATGTGTTAAAGTGAGAGTGGTTCATGGGCTCAGGGCATTTTGAGGCTTTTCCAATTAATAAACCAAAGAAACTGTCACTTCTAAACTATCATTATCTATTCTATGTATCCAAGGCTCTACATCCATGTAAACATTTAGAACAAGGTGCATTCTTCCCTGTCCAAGTGGCAGGCTCACTTTTGATCACAGGTTCATTGTTACAAACATGTGGCAAGTTATATACTTTAAACACTGACTAAACAAAATGTGTTTCTTGTTGTCCATGTTTTGGCCAAAGGATAAGTACTGTATCTCTGAGTCATTTTGACACAAAGATGGCACAAGGGAATACATTTTAGAGATGACCTGATTACCTGATTCTTTTATTTGGTACAACATTTTTTTTATATTATTTCTAGCTAAAGCTTGGTGGTGTACAGAAGTGTAATAAGTACACGGACCTTCTCCAGCCCATCCTCCTTCAGACTGATGACGTCCAGGTCGAAGTCGGTGCGGAGGCCGTTGGTGCGATTAAAAGTGATCCTCCCTGTAAGACCGTCCCAGTGAGCCTATGAACAAACACAGTTACATTTATTAAAGAACAAATGTGCATTACTTATATTTGCATTGGCCCTAAAACAACAAACTTGAGGATGTGAAGAACTCAATTCGTAAAACTTTTTGTTTAATAATTATTACATGTTGTTTCTCCCAACAGAAAGAGTCTTGTCCATATAACTTTTGTGAACATATCAGGTTGCAATATTCAGTTTAAAACTTGATTTTATTGTTTTTTTTTTTTTCTCAATGCTGACTGAGTGAGGGTGGTCCTCTCTATTTTACTGTTGGAATATGAACCAAAAATCTTTTTGCCACAAAAGTTTTGAGAGCGAGAAAGCCGTTCTATGGATGTAATTCATATGGTTCATGTTTTTTCATTCAAAGTGCATTTCAATAAGAGAAAACCAGAAGCCCTAATCAAATTAGATCAAATTGAGGATATACAAACAATGTATTGACCTAAGTTTGTCAACAATTATATCAAGACAAAAGCACAGTACAGTCTCCAAAGCTGGGACACAGTGCGTGGGTTTGTGAACACACAGGACTTGACCTAAGGGTAACACTTTCCATTTAACTTGACCATTTTCTATGCAATATTTTGGGTGTTTTGCACACACACAGCCTTTTGTGAGACCGCAACCAGCTCACGGAACATGCACCACTTGCATTTGAAACATGTTCCACATAATCCTAATCTCTGTATTCATCTGCAGATCTGAATGAGAAGAGCCACAAAGAAAGACTAAATATAGGACCATAATCCCCGCTATTCTTCTGACGTTCTGGAAATCCTGTATGGAAGTTTCTATAAGTAACATAATGAGCATGCCCTACATTTGTTAAATAATCAAATGCAAATACTTATGAACACTTTTCACGGTAAAACTTTTCTTGTGACTGGGGAACATGCCAACAGATCATAATCATTCATGATCTTCCATAACAAGCATTGTCCCTCAACACATCTATGTGTAGTGTCTATGCTATTAATGTAGTATAGTGGGCTTCCTGAAAACAGAATAGCTTCATTTTTCTTTTACTGGGTTAATAAAGTACTTTATTGTTATTAATTGTGCTGCCTGTGACATGTATCTTGTAATACTACAGATGCAAACCACCTGCTGGGGTTTTGATATAAATGACAGCTTTCATTTAAATAATGGTGCTAATTTTTATTTGATAATGTTTGTATTGGTATATATGTATAAACCTGAAAAATCCAAATGAGAGATAACAGCATGATTGAGATTCAGTACGTGATCAATGGACACACCTGAACAAACTTTCCAAACAAAGCAATAACATCCCCATGGACAAGGATTAAGGAGAGCAGATGTCTTTTTATCGCCACGATCTCCCCCGCTGTGTAAAAATGTGATTAAAGGCAGGATTCCTTCCATTACTACTTCTAAATCTCAAAATGGCTGGGACTGCCTCTTCTCATTCTACAACGACCGTTTCCAGTTGAATAAGTATAGGGAGAGGAAAAAAAAAAAAACGTTTTCAATGGGCCTAGTTAGACAGTTTTCACCAGCAAACTTTGTTCATAAATTAATGCACTAAACACATGTTGTAAATGTTGTGGGTATTAATGTTTGTTGGTTGTGTTGTTCTGATGTTTGTACGGCACTTTTAATAGACTATAGTTTATGAATTGTGATTTCAACCCATGCTTGAAAAGTTAAGAGTAATGTGAAAGTCTGCAAAAACAATTAATCTATATCTAATACATTTAAATTAATCAATTATTTTGCCCAGAATGCAAATGTGGTAATTGACCTAATTTTTAAGTTTGTCTGGTCTTTTACAAAAAAACATTGAATAAAACATTTTGTGAAGACATTTTGTAATCTCTGCTCTGCTTGGTCCTAACATTACATCACACATGTTTTTACTTTGCCGTTAACTATTAATCAATTACTAAAATAGTAGACTATTATTGAAAAAACGACTTGAAATTACGTAACAATTTATTTCCAATGGGAGTTTTCCATAATTTGGCCTGAAGAAGAAATGTCCTAGAATGCGGCTCAAAACTGTGACTCCTACTTGTGAATTGGGAGATGATTGAAAGACTCCCATTTCACAAACACTGAGATGTGTCGCAACAATGACGCCATAACGATTAGAGAATAAACACTAAATCAAAACAGTTCAGTTACATTTGTCACCACATTTCAGCTCAAACGGACTTCACCAAATGAAAACAGAAGGAGGAGTTCTTATTGAAGAGAGGGCAGAAATGATCCAGCGAGAAACACACATTATATTCATTGACCAGAGAATACACCCTTGCCTGGGTGAGCATATTGCGGAGTTATGAGAACGTTATTACTGGTGTCAGGGGACATTAAGATGTGGATCAGGGTAAGACATGACTGTATAGTGCGCTCAACCATTATACATAATGAGCCATGATGGGCCTTTATGAGCCCATGTTCCTGATTAGCTGTAGTCCACTTCTGCAATCAGGACAGGCTTTTTCCACCCAATTTTCAAGGCAACACTGATGTTTGTTTAGGTCATACGCAGCACATTAAATTAAGGAGCAGAAGTGATTTTCAAAGTTCATATTACATCATATTTGGACATAATTGAGGCTTAACGGAATATAGCAACTTGTCAGACCGTACAGAATAATACATAAAACACCTAATTGTCTGGGTGATAAAAGTATGAATGAGCCTAGACTGGCGGGTCTGGTCCATACCTCTTTGATGAGGGACATGAAGCGGTTGCCGAACCTCCAGGGCTTATGGCGGTTACACTGGAGCGAGCTGACGGTGACTTGTGGAGACTGCTGCACTGCCACGGCAACCACGTGCACTGCGTCGTACATGAGCGCCGCCTCCGTCTGCACAGGCACAGAGAGGAAAACATCTTAAACATCCATTCAACTTTTTTGATGCGTAAATCATTGGTACGATAGATTAACATGCTCATCTCCTAGTGAGTTCCAATGGGTTTCTAATTCCACATGATGAAACAACTCAATCAATCAAGTGGTACAGTATCTATACATCGCTTTTCGTACAAACACATCAAAAAGTGCTTTACAGTTGGTATGAAAGAATCCCATATTTCTCCTACTCACACACACACATGCACACACACATACACACACCCATCCAGACATATAGTCCCCCTAGGCCTGGGTCTTCTCTGGGCTCTCCTCCCAATGGGACACGCCCGGGACAGATGTCGGAGCCACCTCAGCTGATTCCCCTCGACGTGGAGAAGCAGCGTCTCTACTCCGAGCTCCCCCCGTGTGACTGAGCAAACGCACACACAGAATAACTAAAACCATGAAGCAGACAGAGGCTAGAAATGCATGCTTGTGAAAACTAAGGTACTGTTTTATTTAATTTTTTAGGATCTAACAAGTTCAAAGTATGAATCAACGTATGATTTTAAAAAATATATTGTTTATAAAGTTTGGTACCCCAGCTTTGAGTACCCAAACATGTCTCATTTCTCATTACAACCCAATTACTTGGCCTTGCATTGTCTATTTTGTATGACTGCTGTTCACTACATTCACCTTAAAGACCTTATGACGGGTTTTTAAAAAAAAAATAGTGGATATCAAAATTGCATGACAATGTCAATTTGAAAGAGATTCCGGCAAAAAAAATCCTATATTTTATAAAAAGAACGTGTTTTTCATGAATTTAAGTTGTCTATGCTCTAACCTGTGTGTGACGTAATAGCGGGTTACGCCCATGCATTGAAAACCATGGATCTATGCCACAGGACTGCCTTTTCTCTCTTCTCTCCACTGATGCCCAACACAATACTGCCCTCTACAGGTGACAATTGCTCACTAGACATAAATTGCCGTTTTGAGTGTGAAAAAGTGTCCGAGGCGGGATTTGAACCCAAGTATCTGGATTGGCAGTCTATCGACACAACCACTGGACTATCTCAGTAACAATGAAATGTTACATTCTAGTAGTTATCTCACACTCGCTGTACACGGCCTTGTCATCTTGAATATCCGCAAAAAAAAGAACGAATACCAAATTGTAAACAACTTACAGCGTTGAAACGTACCCGTTCTGACGTCACCAAGGGCTGTGAAGTTTTTTCGTTTCTAAGGGCGTTGCTATGGGGTTATTTCGATTTGGGGGGATCAGACAAAAAAAACAACTGATTTTGAAACCTTTAGTAGTTCTCTTCTAATATAAAATGGTATTAAAACTGTATTTCTAAATAAATCAAACCCGTCATAAGGTCTTTAAGAAGATGAGCAGAGGATTAAGATGGAGGACAAAACGTGCAACAAATCATCACTCCACACGGCTTTGAAAAACACTGCGATCGACGTCATTATGGAGGAATCAAGTCTGTTCTTATATGATCCTCATGGATATTTGATGGTTTCTACAGAGAGCTTCGGTTTAAGATAATCTCACAACACAGTGCTATCGATCTGCGGCTGAAATATGAGCAAACTGTACCATAAAGGAATACTAATTCAGTCTTTTCTACACAGCAATAACAATTACGTCTTTGTGGAGTCTGGTTTGACATTAAGGGGAGCAAACCATACAAAGTCAAGTTTAGAGAACTGTGAAGATGATTCATGGATGTTTGAGGTTTTTTATTGTTACTAAATTCAGATCAACAATGCACTGACAATCCCCGATTTCACTGCTCCTTGTAAATGGCCAATTTCATGTTCTTTGCAGTTTGTTAGAATTATTATTTAAAAAAAAATAATAATACTGAGTGACTCCCCAGCACAACAAAAGCCTCTTTGGACAGAATCAAAAAAAGAATGTTCAACACGGATCATGAGAAAACATTCAGTTTATGGACTGTTCCATATCTTCTATTTATTAATTCGCTGGTGGGGCTATGCAACATATCCCATTTTTATCACATAAAAACACTCAATACTCATATTTGTATTATAAAAAATTTCATTTAAATTAATCTAAATCACAACAATACACATTATATATTACGTACAACAATATTTATTTAGTTTTGTGGAGTGAATTAACAAATTAAGAAAAAATATATTCAAAAATGTGTATTAATAATGCCAAACTTGATGATAAACTGTGACTCTGCCTTAGTGGCGTCATTGCTTCAAGAACACTACTCTACATCCTGTAAATTAGAAATGTTTTCAAAGTATTATTTTTATCAGTGTAAAACCATAAAAGGCAAAATGTTAGAATAACACACAAAAACACTACATAAACTCTTACTAATAGCTACGGAAAAGACCCTGATTCATTTTCATTCTGAAAGCCATGGATCAAATTCAGTATTTCTATTAGCTCTGTTGCTACTGGACACCTGAATTTCTCCTATGGGGGATCAACAAAATATCTATCTATTTCTCTATCTATCTATCTAGGAAATGTCAATCATAATATAGTTGCTGCACATTTACATTGGCTCCACTCTGTCCACTCGATGTAGTGGCTGCAGGCACATATTTACAATGGGTGAATCAAATACAATTTACCCTGAGCCTTTCTTTCTCTCAGTCTTTCAAACAAATGCATTTTCAATAACCTTTGTAGTGCTTTAAACATAGCTGCAGTTTGCACTCAGCACCAAAGATATGATGCTTTGAGCGAAAAGACTGGAGACCTGCGTAGACCCACTTTGGGCTAAAAGGATTCTGCGTTTGATGCTGGAGCCACAGTGATATCGAAAAAGGCTATTATGGAATATGAGGGAAATGGGATGGACTTTGTACTGAGAGTAATAGTTAAAAGCAACCATTCGAGAGGTACTTAAAAATAGATCTCAATAAATCAGGACGCCATTTTCTTTGTTCTCACTAAATGACAGCGGGAAATTATGGAGTTGTACGGTTTATGCATACAACATTCGCAGCACTTTATATTCATGCATTGGAAATCTAGCACAGTCTTCATGAAAATGTGAGACAGGCTTCTATTGTAACGATGTTCAAATCCAGGTTAGAAACAGTTTTGTGTAGCTGTGCACACAACTAAAGGATTGCATTTTTCACTGTTGTTTTCTGTCTTGTTTTGTTAAGAACTTTGAGTTGGCTTTTGTAGGAACTGGACTATGCGAGAAAACTTGCCTTGACTTGCAAATAAACTAGAACTTGCCGTTTTAGAGCACATACCCAACATTTAGAGCACATACCCAACATTTAGAGCACATACCCAATCATCTCAACATTCTTCTTGGCTCTTTCTACCTCACATCCCATCTACAAATCACATTTCAGCTCAATTTGCCCAGTAGTTGCATGCATTATTAGTATGTTAGACTACTCTGCTTTTGTTCCTAGTTTGGCTTTAGTTGGAATTAGTTCCTACGGCTTTGTTATTTGTACAAAGTAGTTCTTCTAATTTCTTCACATTAGTCACAAAGTGGCAATTAAAGACACAATTATCACCACTACATTTGAGCACAGGTAATGTTCTGAAGGTTTAAAACCACAATTAAACTGATTACACATTTTTCACTCACAATGCACCCTTACCCAGTGAAAAAGAATGCATCATTTTTATCCATTTGACTTATTATTTACTTATTAGCGTCTCGTAGAGTGCAAGTATTGGTATTGTTGTGCAAAAGGGGAATGTGTACAATGTTTCTTGATCTTTGTTGTTGTATGTATATAGTCCTTTGTGACCCCAGCGCAGATGGAAATCAGCCTTCGGCAATCTCGCATATTTACTTTCATTGTTCTACCATGTTTGTTCATCAATATGCAAGATACCCCTTCAAATAAATATATAAATACTATATACTATAAATAACATACAGAAATACATCTCCATGCAAACATGGGGATTGATACACTGATTGACATCTTATTCGTTCAGACTTCAGAGTTACAGTATCTTAGGAATTTCAGGGTTCCACCTTTTTGTCACTTCCCCATTGAATTCCTGACAAAAACTGGTATAAAGGGTGACATCTTAAATCTAGACCGGTGCCTGCGAGTTTCCAAGATTATCAATGTACTTCCGGGTTCCATTGCAAAATTGGGTGCAAAAAACCCCAGCATGCTTTAGAAAATGTGTGTAATTAAATACACTGTGTCCTAATGAACTGCAGTATAATGTCATAGCTGTAAGTCCCCCATTGACTCTGCAGCAGTATATAATCCTGAACGAGCCCTCTCCAAACGCACTGCGGCCGCCAGAGGAGCAAAGCTTTCAGGGAAGTGTCAATCACATGCGAGGAGCAGGAAGAGGCCCTGGATTCTCTCTTCCTCAAACAAGGGAGGGAAAAAAATCTAATTAGTGTTTGTCTCGCTTGATTGAAAAGCAATCAAAACAGCTCTGCGCACTTGTATGGAAATGGTGCCCTGTGGTTCTTTCAAACACATTTTCAGTGGGAGTTTTAACAGTGTGTGGGACCAATGCAAAGAGCCAGACACCTTCCTTGTGAACTTAAATGTAGATATAATTCAATAAATGTATATTTAAGTTCTACATTGCAGAAGTTGTCATTAGTTTAGTGATAATTTCTTAATGGACCTGGCGTTGAAAGTTTACATTGTTTACATAGTTTACATCTAAAAATAACAATACTTTCCACATCCATCCATCCATCCACCTTCTTCCCCTTAATCCATTTCTGGGTTTCAGGCAAAGTGAGGTTAAGTATCTTGCCCAAGGACACAACGACAACAGAGGTCAGTGGGAGTCGGTGGAGAAGGTGCCGTGGTGGACTTGAAACCCACGACCTTCAGGCTCAAAGGCCAATGCTCTACCAACGGAGCCACTATCGCTCAATGAAGTGTAAATTGCATGAAAATGTCAAAAATGGGTGAATAGTATTATGTTTTTTAAATGTTTTAAATTCTTATCCTCTATTGTCAAGGCTGAT